GTGTTCAGCAAAGAGTTGGGTCATGCAGCCTTCAAAGGAAATGGTCTTCTTCTCATAGAGAGAGTCCACGATCATCTTTGGGGCAATGGCTGAGGAGAAGCAGGCATCCAAGAAGGAAAGGAAAGCCAAGAAGAAGTACATTGGGGAGCCCAGGAGTGCAGGGCTGCTGACGATTGTCACCACGATAAGCAAGTTGCCCCCAACTGTTACAATGTAGACGCACAAAAATACAACAAAGGCAATTTTCTGAATATTTGGATTCTGTGAAAGTCCCAGGAGGACAAACTCAGTTACAGAGCTTTGATTGTGCATGACTTCCATGGAAGCTTTAAACGCTACCACCATGAACATACAGAATCTGCAATTATGAAACAGAAAAAGTCATGTCAAAGCAATTTGTTATCACAGGCAACAACTTGGTGTATTCACATGAAAAAAATATCTTTTTTACTACTACCATCATGGAGTGTTCATAAATAGATATTTGTTAAATAGTGAGATATCAGGAAATATTTGAACGAATGTGTATTATTAAATAGCTTAATATCACCAAAGTTTTAATTATATGAACATGGATGAGTATGTCAGCTGCCAACTCTGATCACTTAGTAGTTTTATGGGGTGTGTTGTTGAGGAGGATTCTGAAGCCACATTCTAGTACTGAGGTAAGGAAGACTGCAGCCCATTAGACACACCTGCATTAGCATGGGATGGGGTAAGATAACTTGGATGGCACCCCGATCTGCCTCGTCACAAATAAAAGAAGAAAAAACAGACAGTTTGACATATGCTTAAAAATCAAAGTTATTCCCCCCACAATTTTTTTAATCCAAAATGATATGGCCTTTAATAATGAAATCATCCCTTATAAAAGAGAATGAACTATGGAAAAGTACTCATCCGTATAGTAACAAGTGGCAAGCTGCCGTGATATTTTTTTCCCCCTTATTCATCATTTTAAATAAAAACAGAAGTGTATAAACTCTAACATCTACTAAAGAGTGTTGTCACTCTCTCAAAGTTAAGTAGCACAAAAGTGGATTTTTTCAGGGCTTAGTGATCAGGAAACTGTCCATGTTAGGAGTTATTATCCTGATTTTACCTGTAGAGAATTCAATAAGCTCAGATAAATAACAGATGCTGGATCTGATATTTTAACACAGAACATCTGATTCTACAACCAGCGCTTTCCAACTGGCCCGAGACAGATTTTTCTTTTCAGCAAGAAACTCAGAGCAAGGTGGTCTTTCTACTGTCTCCATCCACAAATAGAATTTAAAGTCTTCTGAGACCCTTACTATATTTAACGAAGTTAATGGCTGAAAGATATAGGGCAAGTGATATAGATTCAAAAGTAATGGCCCAACTACTGATGTATACAAATTGGCATCCATCAAAAAGAAAAAGTCATACATAGATATTTGAAGCTTTATTAGTTACTTGCTAATTATTTACATATGGCTCACTCTAATCACATATCACCCCAATGTATAGCTCTCAAATTTATCTGATTTTATAATGGTGACATATAGAGCCTACATGTTCATCTCACAAGGTACTGATGAGGTAAAATGTGCAAGTGCTGCTCAGATAAAACGTCTTTTACCAATAGTTCCCATTCTCTCCCTTAAAAAGTCAGCCCTGGCCCCTACCTGATGGCACAGTGGGTTAAAGCACAGCACTAAGAAGATAAAGCCACTTCAGCATGAGTTCCATCCCCACCTACCCCGGAGGTGACCACATGGCATGGCGGACCTCTCTTGACCGGCGCTCTGCTCCCCTCAGCAGTATACTCCAACCATCTGCTTGTTCTACTCCCCACTCTGTCTCTGGTGAATCCTCTCACCGCCCCTGGGCCTCTGGTCTGTACCCCAGTTCTGTATGCACAAATAAATAAATCTTAAAAAAAAAAAGTCAGCCCTTACCCACAGAAAGTTTTTCCATGAATCATCCAGATAATTACTTCAACTTTTGACTTCATTTTCCATAGGTAGATAGAGCTTCAACAAATGATTGTTTCCTCAACTGTACATAATACAGAGATGTATCAGTCAAATTAAATATGTATGTACAGATATCACACATGTTGCTACCTAGGTAGTTAAAGAACAGTGAGGTTTACTGCGAATATAAAAATAAGCCCAGTTTTGGGCCCTCCTTGGTGGCGCAGCAGGTTAAAGCACCACATTATGAAGCTCTGCGAAGCCACTGCAGCAAGAGTTCGATGCCCAACCAGGCTGCTGACCCACTTGGCGGGGCAGACCTCTCTTGGCCTGCCTGCTGCTCCCCTCAGCAGTGTACTTTGTCAGTCTGCCTGTTCTACTCCCTCTCACCATACCTCTGACCTGTACCCCAGTTTTGGTATGCATAAATAAATCAACCTTAAAAAAAAAATACAGAAACCAGTGTCCTCATGTTTCTGATCATAAAAGTTGTGCATTTAAGTCACTTAGAAGGCAATGAGTCTTTAAGCAGTATGTTGCCCTGGATTGAATTGTGAAGAAAAAAGACAGCAGTGAAAAATTCAATTCAACAGGAATATAACGTGGTGTTGTGTTAAGAGTAGTATAAATATTCATGTCAGATTTTTCACAAATATACTCAGAGTAATATTCTGTGATGAAATTGGGGGACAGTAAGTGAGAAACAGACAGAAATTCTATAATAATCCTGGAATATTTTTGTTAATCTGCTAATCCAAAAGTAAAAGTTAATTAAATGTAAGTGATAATTGTATAGTTAGGTCATTAAAGAAAGCATTAAGGTTCAGTATCTCCTACCATAAAATATATAGTAACACCTGTTGCAATATTTTAAAAGTATTGTAGAATTTATAAGTTAGTGGAAAATGTGAAATACTACTGTCAGCATTATTTTAAGCAATATTTACACATAAACCATGAGCTGAAAAGTTGAGTGTTGTAGTAAAATGTATTTTGATATTTCAAATTGTACCAGTTCTGAAACTGCAATGTAACTGCTACATTCATTTAATTCTTTCTGTAATATGCTAGCAAACATGTCCAGTAAACACACTCATTGGTATTCTTTATATTTGCAAACTCAAGTGTAAAATTTATTCTTAAATTGTGTAAATTTTAAAGTCCATGATCATAAACATGGACTTTAAAATTTAATAAACATTTAAAATATATAAAATGTTGGATAATAGGAAGAGGTTTATGCACATCAGACCACAACAAATTAATAGCACATGTTGCTATTAATGAAATACTAATGTCTAAGGACATAATGAAACATTTTTGCAATATGTTAAGTAAAAAAAAAGAAAAATTGTAATAAATGCTAATGTGTATAGACATTTGAGTATAAAATTTTAAAGCAAGTGTGAAAATGTAAAGGTTTTATTTTTAATATGCATATTGACATAATGAAAACTACATTAATGATTTTAAATCAAGTTTAAAAGATACAACACATAACTTCTCTCTAAATGTCCAGAATGAGATGGGGTCTGAGCATAATCTCATTCTCTCATTCTCTATCCATTACAATAATTTTGGGGATAGAACTGACATGTTAACATAGAATCTCTTGTGAAAAATGATTTTAAACTATCACAGAGTTTCCAAAACAATCATATCATGGAGTCAAGTCCCCGCCCCCACCCTCTAAACTCACTTTGACATCACCTTTAACTTCACGTACTCGACATCACCTTTAACTTCACGTACACTTAGAGGAAGCAACTGCCTCTCTCTTCTTTCTCCCAGAAGCGTGCATGTCCTTTTCTTAACACACTTTCAAGATAGTTGGCTCCTGTGCTTGTGACCGTGACCTGTGGTCTGTGAGCGTCTCTTGCAACAGTGACCTTGAGAATTCCTCCTCCTCACTCTCCCCATTGCCCACACTTTCCTTCTCCTTTGTTACACAGCAAAATGATCCTAATAACAGCAATCTTCCTGAAATAGTGTTTCAACATTCAAAACTATATGATGCGATAAAAGTAGATGGTTAATGTATGTAGCATTTTGTATTTGTTCGTGTGTGTGTGTGTGTGTATAGATGTTCAGATTAATTATATTGGTGTATACTTTTTTAACTGGAGCAGTATGATGATTCCAAGTTAAAAGATAAGGTCAAAATCCCATTCTTAATTACCTTTCCATTAAGTTCCTTAAATCCACTGTACTTTTTTTACCCAGGATTACTGTTTAAACCAAAAATAAGAAACTGTTCTTTGTACAGCAATGCAAGTTCTTTTCCCTGAAATCTAAGAATCAGGTTGTCTTTGTATCTTCTTCTTGCTCCTCTTCTCTACCCACAATGTTGCTCTTATCTATCTAAATAACTCCTCTTTTATACTCTTAATATCATGGGAATTTGACAAAAAAATTTTTTTTGTTATTTGCATCTGTGTGATTCCTGATGGATACAGTACCTTTTTTTTCTCTTTTCATATTGATTTAGCTCACTGAAGAGAGAGAAGCCACAATTGACACTAATGCATTTCAGAGCTCCTGATATTTGGGTTCATGGGAACAATTCTGAGCAGAAATAAATGCTTTTTACATCAAAATGTACTTAGAGATAATTAAGCAGACTTTTTAAAATCAAAAAACTGCGCTGTCACTTGCTCCTCTTTCTTACATTTTATATCCTTCCCTGTGCTATTTGATAGGGCTTTGAATACTAAATGCTCCTATGTTACAATTCCCTATTCAGCTCATATTCCGCCTTTAATCTAAAATATCAGGATAGGGAAAGCGTTTGAAGATGAATGATAAATGAGAATATATAGAAAGAATAAACAAATGTTACCTGAAAACTAAGACAATTAGATGTATTATTGCATTTTAACTTATTTAGATTTAACATGAAGTTGAAAAACTGAAAATAGATTTGATGTAGTAGGTATTCCAATCCTCCCCTCCAAAACCCTTTGGAGTCTACAGTGCCTACTTATCTAGTATTATGTTTCAAATAAAGTTACTTTGACACCTCCCCCCACCCCCATGCATTGTTTAAGTTAAGTTTCCAAATCATTTGAGACTGGTGATATTATAATTCCCATTAAAATGAATAATCTAGAATCATAAAAGTCACATAACTAGGCCCAATGGTGCATAGTTAGAGTGACAGACCCACGCATTTTGCAGCTACCCACCACAACACAGTAGTCTGAAGTTTTAATCACAGTTTAAATGCTTCCTGAAAATACAAAATATGAAGTATAGCTCTCACCATTTGTGAGTTCCTTGGAAATGCAGGTATGACAATCTCTGACTGTCTATCCATAAAAGCCCATTTAGTGGCTCGCCAAAATGTGAAGAAGGCATCTGAGTCTCACT